TCGGCGGAATCTGGCAAAATTTCAGCTTACAATCATCTTGCAAAATGCTACTTTTATGGAACTGGAACAGTAGAAAATGAATACAAGGCATTTGAAATGTACTTAAAATCTGCTGAATTAGGAGATAAACACGGTCAGTTTAAGTTAGCTGAATGCTATCAATACGGATTCGGAATTGAAAAAGATCCTGACATGGCCTTAGAATGGTACAAAAGAGCCCATGAAAACGGTCATAATATAGCAGGGGAGATGATTGAGGCATTTGATTTTGAGCGTCAATATTCTCTATCGTAATACTTTTATTCTAGTTTTTTATTGGATACGTTCGAGCTTTCAAGTATTTGTACACAGATCTGTATAACACCTGCTTGATACAAGAACTCGAACAATTTATTAATAAAAAATGTGTATCAACTAGCAAGAGAAGTTAAATAAAGAAAATTATTCCTTTTTCCATACAGAAAAGATATTATACATACATTTATTCATCCCTGGATCTCAAATCAGCCTATTGACAAGTCGATGTCTGAGCGGAAAATCGATTAAAAACAGCAATGATCATTCCCAGAAAAGATAAATTCCTCTGGAAGTAATGTTATATGGATTAGTAAATGCGCCTGCAAATGTAAAGTTCTTTTTAATAAGCAAGTCTAAAAGAAGGCTAGATTAATCCGCACCTTTTTTAACATAGCTTGAGTTCACCAAGTTCGTCAAGTTTGTTTAACAATATACTTGGCATACATCTTTTTAACTTGGTTTCCAATTCTCTTGCTCACAAACTCGCATACCTTTTTTATCACATTCCAACAAGTTTATTTCATCATGGTTATCCCACAAGTATCTTCAAGCGGATCATTATTCCAGGCAAATACTTTGCCACATTTGTTGACGGCATATGTCAAATTCTTAACAGTAATAGACAATCTTGTTATTCGACTGTGAAGATATCCGCACCATTTACTTGCTTCAGCAGTATCATCTTCAGATGAACTAAAGTATTATGAAATGAGTTAGCAGCTTTCAGATTTGCTGCTGTTGTAGTTTTTTTTAACCTTTCCCGTGAATCGGCAATCACATTATAGATAGTTGAGAAAAAAAAATATGGTTTTCCATCACGTATTGCATGTCCTATTTCTTGTATTATTACACTACGAATTCGCCACCAACAAACTGGAATAAAAACGAAAAGATGGTAAGAAAAGAAAATTCGATAACAGAAGCAAGCTCACCACAGAAAAGTAACTGACACCGGAATTACAACAAACAATGAACAAAATTCAGTGCGCGCCAGGGAAATCTACAAACACCATCCATTACTAGAAAACGACGCAATTATTCCTATCAAGTAACTTATGGGAACGAATGGTACGCCAAATATTTCTCTCGGAATCAACAAAAAGCCAAACGGAACTGCATTTGCTAATGGCAAATAAAGGAGCCCAAACCGGTGTGACAGGAAACAACAGACTCATTGGAGATAACTATTCCCCTCTGATAACAATAACAACAGAAGATCAAAAAAATGCTGCCATCATCAAGAATCGGCAAAATTCCGCGATCAATGCCCGAAATTACTTCCTCTTGTTCCAAAGAACCGACGACAAAGGGAAACCAGAACCATGAGAACAAGAAAAAACGACTTACAAAACGCCGCTTCCAGTTCCCACAGTTCCAGAAATGGTGGAAACATACATTTCCACCAGAATCTTAACAATTCCAGTTAGAAATCGTCTATTCCCGACCAAAACGCCACCCAACACTCCCAACAGCAACTTGAAATATAACATTATTCACCAGAAAGGTCGCAATGATCGGAGACTACAGAGTAAACAGCGCCGAAAACGCCAAATTAATTGCGAGTTGAAAGAATCCACGAATGACCAGAAAAAGATCCGAATTCACCTTTTTTACCTATTTTTTTATTTATATATCAATAGTCTATGATTTGCGCATTCTTATCATGTGATCAGTAACCTATATTTACTCAACCAGGAGCCAAATTTATTTTTCTCTACAATGTCCGAACAACTCATAAACGAACAGCTCAAATCTGTTCGAAACGAAATCGAAGAGACAAAAAAAGAAATAGAGGAGATAAAAAAAAAGAAAATAATATCTCCGACAACATTCTCGTCTCCCTCTACAACATACTCCTAGAGCTCCACAAAAAGGAAACAGAGCTCCACAAAAAGAACAACCTGCTGCAGCAACGTTCGCAGGAAGGTAAGTTAAGCCGGCTTCTTCTTTGCACGTATATTAGGGAACGATTGGTATACTGTTTGTGTTGATTAACTTGTGCTTTTTTTCTTCACCCTATATTTGATGCCCTTTCGGATAACATTTATGTCCAAACGCATCCTTTTCAGTGGGTTCTTCGGAAATTGTAAAAGATTTAGCTCAAATAAAAGATGCCTTGCATGCAAGTACCATTCATGTGCCATTTCCTACAACCACCACAAACACACAGGTTTTTCAAGAGAACTTAGGTCGCACTCAATTAATGGATGCTTCTGCTTTTCAGCAGAATAGTGACTACAATACAAATTTATGGAAGGCGGTAAAAAGTTGTGGTTGGGAGTGGGCTGTTGATGTGAATTCTGCAGAGGATAGGCTTCATGACAACTTTGGAAAGCTTCTCGGAACAATCCTTGATACGCTTATGGGCAAGTTCTGGGAAAGTTGCAAGGTCAATAAAATTCTATACAATGATAAAATGAATGCGAAGCACAGATTCGCGCCGGGCCCAGACCCTCTATGCGATGACGTGAGGCGTTTCCCCGACTTTGTTCTTGATCGTCTAAAGAAGTATGACTATGCCATCTTTAATTGGCAAACAATGACTTTACCCATTGAAATCGAAAAGAACATAATCGTTAATAGGAACAATACGACTGATTTTCATTTGGATAATCTCAATACACATGCAAAATCAGGTTTGGGTCAGCAACAAGAATGGGCAGTTATACGGTTTAGATATCAGGATGTCATGGAGTATGAAAGTTTTGTCACAGACAGCGTGAACATCATATTTATCAAGGCAGTCAGAAGCCGTAGCTACGAACTTCATACCTTTACAGTCAGTCCTCCTTTTGCATTAGTGGAAAACAGTCAGCCGACCGACGCATTTAAGAATATGGTCAGAATTATTGGTGATAGTCTTTTATTATTGAAAGCAAAATCAATGAAGGCAGCAGAAAAGAGCGATGACGAGTTCAATCCTAGTGGACATTGGACTGGACGATACGTGATTATTGATGAGAAAGATTTCTTTGTCAGAGAAGTCATCTGTTTCAACGTCCCTGATTTTGTGTATGCCGCGTGGAGCAATGAAAGCGGAAATGTTGTTATTAAAACAGCGCAGAGCAAGTATAGGTTCGATGAACATAAGAATGAACAAAAGATCCTTCAAGAACTGAGTAAACGTACCCTCAGCGTTCCAAAAGTCATTGCAGCTGGATATATTGGTGATGCATTTGCGCTCGTCCTAACACCCCTCGGAAAATCATTTAATCATGTAAGGCCAATATCCAAGGAGAAAGCAAAAAAAGTTTGGAAGGATTGTATTTCAGACCTAAAACAACTTCACGAAACGGGGATCGTGCACGGAGACATTCGACCTACTAATATAATACTTTATGAGGGAAACTACAGGCTGATAGATTTTGGTCTTGCGGGCAGTCGCGAACAAAGACGGTGGAGAGGAGCAGATAATGTGTATGGATCCATTCGTGCATTGGAGGGACATAATTATGAGGCGTGGGATGACGTGGAATCATTAGTTTATACTGTGGAGTCGCTGAAACGGCCTCGATGGCAGCTACCGTGGTATAGAGATACTGATCTTGAGAGAATTGTTAAATTAAAGGCAGCATTCTTAAACAGCGTCGCTTCCAGCTATGAACTGAATTCTTGGATTGAGTGGCAAGATAATGATATCAAAGTATGAATACATTTAGTCGAATAAAAATTGTTTATTCGAAAAAATAATCTTCGTATTTTTATTTTGAATATATTGGTAGGAGTAGAAAAGATCTAATAAATGGAAAAAAAGAAATTAGTTTTCACTAAAATTAAGTTTACGGAAAAATCGAAAATGTCAAAAACTTCGAAAATATTGCTATCATTATACCAATAAACTCGATAAAATTCATTTCATAAGAAATAAATTGATACATTTTGTATTATGGGTATTTACAATGAAATAAAATGCTTGAAGCACTAATAAAAAATGTCGGGAATGCAATTTACATATCTAACATTACTATCATTGATCACTCGAAAGTTAATAATATCTTTAGCAATAATAATCTTTTACATCACATGGGAATGAAACTTTTCGTGGGAAGATTTCTAACGTCTTTTATCATGTGACATGTAATTCAGACTTGAATGCCCCAGAAAGCTTATTTTCGGATATTGATTACTTACGTTTTTCACCGCAAAAAAATGCATTGTCTATTTTTCGCTATTCCAAGACCAAAAATTCTCTTTCCTTTAATAATCTTGGCATCACTAGGCCTCTTCTTTCTACTATCATATAGCTATGAACCAGTTACCGGATACGTAGACACAATACTCGACAAAAGTGCGGGCAACGACACCGCAAGCATCGATGACTTGACTATATACTCGGGCCCAAACGTAAACTACTCGAGTATCGAAGAAGAGACAGACCAAGAGAAGTTTTTGACATATTTACCACATAGTGGGTTTCACTACCAACGCATTTCGCTCGAGAATGCGATATTTCTCGCGTGGGCGACAAACAGAACATTGGTGATTCCGCCCCTTATCTTCGGTGCTAAAATCCCATATCAAACATTTTCTTTACTTGCTAATAGATTAAGTCTAATAGGCAAGGAAGTTTTGCCTGATTGTAGTAATGAAACTATTGCCGAGAAAAAAGAAGCTTGCAACACGAAATACAATAAAAGTTTCCGTACATTGGTGAAATGGGATCTAGTGATGGATCTTTCTTTTACCAAAGATAATATTCGTACAGTGCATCGAAGCGATTTCAACCAATCCGCTCTGTTTCACCTGGTTAACGTAACAGATACGAAACAAGTGTATGTTCAATCGGATGAGAAACTATACGACTTTCAAGTTGTTGATAATCCCGATGCCAATTTAAATCAGCATTTTCAAAATAAATTGTTCCTTTCTGATCTTAAATTACGACGGGAGAAACTTTTGTGTTTTGGGAGTATTTTTAGCTCGAAGAGAATTGCCGCGGAGCTATCGGAAAATAAAGATTTCTTTAACCAAGTTCGAAAGCATATGATTATTGGCAATCCAATAATGCTAGGAGTAGTGGAGAAGATAGTGGATGAATTGGGTGGATTGGCGAGTTTTGTAGGTGTTTATGCGAGAATAGGAGATGATAAAACTTTTGATAACGTCACCACTTCCACGATAAAAAATATCACAAAACAACTGATCGATGAATATGCTCCAGAATTGAAATCTGATATCAAATTAGACGAGGAAGCAACCAAAGACGCAGGAAACAAAGATCTTTATGATAGTTTGGATGACACTGAGGAAAATCAAAATATTTCCGAAACACCAATTGAGCGACGTAGCTTTGCTGTTAGTCGGGGTATTCAAGCATCTGGTCTTGTAGCTGATTGTCAATCAAAAGTTGAACCTACACAAAATGACATGCCTATTATTTATATTGCTACGGATTTATCACATCCACGGGAAGCATTCAAAGAGATTTTCTCAGCATTCCCGTGTGTTTTTGTTCTTAGTGATTTCAATGACCAGTTGAAACCAATCGACTCGATTCAAAATCCCTCTGATAATACGACACTTGCTCATTATTTATTACCGTTGGTTGATTTGAATGTCGTCGCGAGTGGTCAACGATTTATTAGCACGGAACGCAAGGTTTCTTCAAATTATGCCGCACATTTACATCAGAATTTGGTTGGGCCTGAATAATTTAATATTAACGTTATGTATTCCCGTTTTTTTTTTTGTAAAAATTAATAGAATCTATACATTTATTATATTACTACAACTTGTTTAGTAAAAAATATATATATATTTTTTGAGTTCAATTCACTATTATTTTTTATTTCTTGGTTACCATGATATCAACTATTCTTAAAACCGATACTTTAAACAAGCAAGGCATGAAATTTAATTAAACATGAATAAACGAGGCGTGGCAAATAGTCTGATTAATGTTTCTTTTTGCCCTTTTTTGCAGTCACAACTTTAAAGGCATTTGTGCTACTACTTGTGTCCTCTTTTACACCAACAACAGAATTATTCGTTCCCACATCTTTTCCTAATTTTCCTTCTCCGTGATAACTCGAATAACTACTCATTGAAATACCAGCAGCATCAGCTTTTCGTCTTTTTACAAACTCGTCGGCGAAACGACGTCCATCCAAATTGGTCGAATATTCATAGACAGATTCTTGGATAATCTCGAGGGTGTTCGGTGGCGGGTCCAATGGAAAGGTGAAGAGCATTTGGATAAAATCGTCGACTATTTAAAGGAAAATTAGTTATTTATCCTGAATAATTTTAAACTATCGCTAATACACACACACCGTTAATGTTATTATTCAAGGGACGCAATATGTTACGACACCATTTCATGAATTCTTCGGAAGGAGGGCGAGGAGCATTTTGATCTATAATTGAACACAAAATTAAAAAATTGCTACTGTCAACAAAAGATTTCATACTCGATCGAATACTTGCCCGTGCTTCGAGTCGAATTTTTAGATAATTCATTCGATTTACTAGTTTGGATTTGTGTTCTAATGGAATTAATATAATCTTAAACATTACTGCAGGAAGTAAACTTTTAATCTTTTAATCTAATAATACTAACCTTTGAGCATTTTGTAATCCACTAATGTTATTTTTAATGGCCTCTACATCCCAAGCAAAAGAAGATTCTTTAGACAGATTACCTAATTTTAATACATTAGAAGCTGCAATATTTGTATTCGAATTGACATTAAATGATGGATTTGTACCAGTACTAACACGCGAGGCCGCACCCGGTTTACCAGCGGCAACAGTAGTCCAAGCTGAGCCAATTGCTGGTGGTAATGCAGGCTTCTAGTTTTTAAATAGAAAAACGGAATTTAAGCATCCTTATTTTTTGATACTGTCAATAATAATAATCTTATCAAAAGCAACCTTCACTCCACCAACAGTGACACCACCCGCGACTAGAGTGTCTGCGTAACGTTTTCCCAAACCACTCGAAACAGTAGGATTTCCTGCTGCAGCAGCATTCAACGATGCTTGTTGTTGCATTTCTCTCATCCTATGACGTTTTTTCATTGCTTCTTCCTCCTCTTTCTGAATTTCCCTTAATGTTTTCTTCGGTCCAACGTTGTTCGAATGCCAAGCTGGAGCAGCAGTAACAATCGGTGAAGATGAAAGTGATGAAGAATTTGATGCTGCGGTTGTGGTATTAGTTGCAGTTGATGAGTTGGGTAACATCATACCCCACGAAGTGTTGATCGCCGCAATTTCATCTTTTGTAGTGTTGGAGACGGCAGCACTTTGAGCAACAAAATTAGCGGTATTAATTCGTTCCACAGCCTTTCGCTCTGCAGCTTTACGAGCTTCCATTTCTTGAATTTCGCGAAGAGATGGAGCCTTGTGAGATCCATTTTCATCATCCTTGGTAGCCCATGGAGAAGATAAAGTACTAGTGGGAATAACACCTCCCCATGCTAAATTGGCCGATTTTTGAGACTGGGAGGATTTTGGAAGAGTTCCCGAGGTAGTATTAGCAGCAGCGGCAGCGGCAGCAATGTTATTGCTTATTACTTTTTCTCTCTCTTCCTGTTGTTTTTTTCTTTCTTCATCAGCCTGAATTTCTCGCAAAGAGGGTCGGGATTTATTAGAGGATTCTTCCTTTTTAGAAGTTATCGGAGTTTCTTGTACAACATTAACTTTAGTCGTAATAGTTGGCTCATCAGCAGATTGTTTCTTTTCTTCCACTGTTTGCTCTTTAATATGTTTATTTGTGCTGGGTTCTTCGTCAGCAAGAACAACCTTTGCAATTGCTTCAGCAGTGTTATTTACCTTGATCTCCAGTTCAGATTCTTGCGTTTGTGCTCCACTGGTTTCGAATTGTGGTGTTTCGTTGGACTGATGAAGTGGAGACGACGATTCAAATTGAATTGGTTGAGTATTAAGCCCAAAATTGAGATCTTTTCTCGTACCAAAATAACCAACTTCTTCATGTTGTGTTGTTGATACTCGTGAAGGAGTAGGGGCTACGTTCGGAGTAACGATCGGATTCCATGGAGAAGAAGGTGTTTGCTGTTCACTTGTAGCATTCCATGGAGCAGCAGCAGCACGTGATATAACGTCGATAAGAGCAGTTGGTGTATTAGATATTGGGGCTGAAATTGGACCAGAGATAGCACCGAATCCTTGATGAAATAATGTCTCAGGAAATATATTATGTTGCTGCTGCTGTTGTTGATGCTGCTGCTGTTGGTGTTGCTGCTGCTGTTGTTGCTGCTGCTGTTGCTGCTGCTGCTGCTGTTGCTGCTGTTGTTGTCTCTGCTGCATTAATGAATAATATTGTTGTTGTTGACGTTCGATTTGCGAGTTAAGTGCGCGTTGATGTTCCATGTAATTATGAGTCTGCGGGATCCCAAAGGCACTAGTGCTACTAAATAAAGGTGAACTGGGATTTTGCAATCGAGGAGATAAATTCCCCGTGGTTGGAGTAAAGGTTTCTGAGGTAGGCCATGTACTATTATTATTACTATTAGTAGTAGCGGTATTCAAATCATTCCATCCATTGCTAATCTCACTAGTTCTATTACCAAATACACTCCCAAATTGGTATCGATCAAATGGAGTAGTGGGAACTGATGTTGTGCCTCCAAACGGATTAAATCGTTGCTGATCCAAGAATAATTGTGCAGTACTTGGTGAACTTGGTGCACCCCAACCTCTCTGGAATGGATCATTTACTAAACGTCCCGAAGTGGTAGGTGGCATTGCAATTGTCAGCGGAGGCCTTCCACTTAATAAAGGGGCTGAAAATGGTTTCTCTTCATCACCAGTTTTCCGAATTAAATTTGCCAACGGTTCAAAAGAAGGATCATCTACTCTCTTTACCATAAGAGAGCCTGTAAAAAATCCTCCTTTGAACCAATCATTCATTTCTTGACTACTAAATGGACCTGTTGATTTATTATTATAGAGATTATTAATATGAGATGAATAGTCAGATGAATACAATCTTAAGGGTTTTACCTTGTATTTTACCCGCGGGATCTCGATAAAGCCACTCGGATTCGGATGATGATTTTCTCGAATCAATATTACTAAACAAGCTATTGCTTCCAGCGGATGTGTCTGCAAAGGCATTGTTTATAGAAAATTTAGATGCTAAGACACCCGGCGAAAATGGCGGAGTCGTGCCTCCAAGACCAGAATATGAAAATGCAGCCTTTAGCACATCATCATCTTGATCAGAATCAAAGGATTGTGCAGCGATAGGCGAACGAGGTGGAAGCAATAATTGTTGCTGTAATAAGTGTTGTTTTTGATGATGGTGCTGTTGAGAATGTTGATTTGGTTGATGCTGCTGTGACTGATGAACGAATTGTTGCTGCTCTTGTAGCAATTGCTGATGAGGTTGATGTTGTTGTAGGAGCAATTGTTGCTGTTGCTGCTGCTGTAACAATATATTTTGCTGCTGCTGAAGCAACAATTGCTGTTGAATATGATGATTTTGGTGTTGTTGAGATTGGGGTTGTGGCTGAGGGAAGGACTGTTGCGATTGAGATTGAGGTGGTTGAGATTGGGATTGAGGAGCTTGAGTTTGAGGATGTAGTTGTGATTGAGGGTGAGATTGAGATTGTGTAGTAGGTACTGTTTGAGAATTGGATTGCAATAGAGATTGTAATTCTGATGACGGTGCTTGCTGTGATTTTTCAAGAATCGATGATATTTTGAATTCGTCTTTAACAGGTGAAGCCGATTTCCGCAATTCAGAAACAGCCTCCGGTTTCTGATTCGAAGATTCTTTCATATTTTCTGAATTTTCAAGTTGATTAGTTAGCAAGGAGGAGGAATGTTCATTTTCAGTCCGCTGATTTATCCCTTGATCTTTTTCCTTATTTTGTTCTTGCTCCGGCGGTTCCGGTTGGATGATTTCTATTGATGATTGAGAACGTTCATCTGATGAAAGTTCAGAGTCGTTCCCATGTTCAATGGATTCTCCGTTATATATTGGGGCCGGTTCTCCATGTAGCAACACATCCCTGTCTGTATCAGACTTTTCATCTGTGCGCGTTTCAGGAGGTTCAGTCGAAGGATTTTGTTCATTCTAAACCGCGGGAAAATTAACATTATTAATTATTTTACTTTGTAATTAATAGATGGTTTTCGTTTTTTTTACCACTTCATTCCGGCTATGGTTCTCTTTGAGTTTACCGTTAGGTAAAGTCTCGTTATTAGTAATGCTACTGTTACCGCTACTACCTGGGATTCTAAATACTCCGTGACTATCAAATGTGCCAACAGCGTGACGATTCACGCCATTCCACATTAGATCATCCGTCAACGTAGGGGGATGAATAGAAAGACTTGCTGTCCGAAGTGTGCGATTCGGACGAGCTATTTGCGCCTCTGAATAATAGGAATAAAGAATTGGCATTGATTGGTAGATTGATAACAAATCCACAATTGTCTATGCAAAAATAAAAATAAAACCTTTATTATCCTCATCTTTTTCCCCATCACGTCGCGATACTGATGAAATACTTCCTTCTCTTCCTAAAATTTTAGAAATTTAAAAATTTTAATTCTTCGAATTTCAACTACACAGAGAAAGAGAAATCGAGCGATAATAAAAAATTTGCCTCTCTGCGTTCGTGGATTTAACACTCCTCCGATAATGCCGAAACGTTCGGTCCTCGGTGAAGTTAATCCTGTACTAGAAGGCTTATCTCCTCTTGGAGAGAAGGGCCCTCTGTCCACCGTACGTTCACTTGCTGTAGTTGCGGTGGCAACGTTGACATTAGATACAATACGACGAGTAAGATCGCTATTGACTGAAGCTCCTGAAAGCAGCTGTGATTTGGTTTGGTTTGTTAGCGAAAATAATATATATTTTTTTTTCGAAATTTATAAATCAAGAAAAATCCGGATTGAACTACAATCAAACAATAATTGGAATACAGAAATACCTTCTGCTCTTGTTCTGTATATGATAACAATGCCATCGGTGGTAATGGCTCGTCACTTGTAACATATTCATGACGTTCAAATTCCAAAGGTAATCCTACTGGCTTATAAAATTTCAGCATGAACTCTTTTGAATATTTAAAAGGACTCAGAGCTGACTCAGCTCCACCAGGCACGTCCGTTTTCTCGGACGGTTCGTTATGAAGGGTACGACTAGAAACTGTATTGTTACTATTTGCCGCGGCCACCGAGGACCAAGAAAATGTATTTGTAGTAGAAGCAACTCCATTAACGTTGGCGTTGCTGTTGTTCACTACACCTGCACTAATATGATTAGCTGTACCTATTGTGTTAGGGTTGGTGGTGGTGGTAATGGAAGTAGCAGTCGCAGGGTTTGCCATGTTGGCCATAACGTTGGATGAGCCACCTAGAGTTGGGGCTGCACTAGTATTCGTAGTAGTGGTAGAAGAATTGCGAGAGGACTCGGTAGTTGGAGTTTTTGGAAATCCCCTCATCCTTTTTTTCGTGACATTATCATTTGGTAATTGTTTGAAAGCCGAAAATATAGAATATATATGGAATAGAGTGTGAGTGCTGTGGCTCTCGCTTTTTTTAGTTTTGAAAAATCTGAGGTGGAAAGAAAAATATATGTATGGGGTTGAGGAGGAGAGTATTTTTCTCTACTTAAAAGTTGGGTGAATTCCCCACCCCAAAAGAAGACATCACTACAAGAGGTACTTAGCCGGTTCAAGTAAAAAACGCATACCATTCCGGTCCAAAGTTCATTGTGTTACTCGCTGCCATTTTAGCTTGCTTAATACTTTTTGAATAGATAGAGAGTAATCGTTGTAAAAGTTGAATCTGTGGTGTTTCAGATCGCTTTTGAAACGCTGCTGCACGATTTAAAATAGTATAGGAAAAGTTGTTCTCGTGGTTCTAGTTTGACAAGTAAATAAAAATTGTGTCGAGAAAAAAAACGTTGATGCTGATGATGATTATTATATATTTTAATGGTGGTATTGGTGAATCAATCAGAATCTTGGATTGGATTTAATTTTTGGGAATTTGATATATATAATACGTATTCTCGTAATTTCGTCAATACAAGTAATGGGTTCTAACGTCGAGAATTCTCTCTACGATTTCTATCATCACCCAAGCTCTTTCATCGTTCCTCCAACTTCTCCCGAAGCCTTTGGTGTTAAAGTAATTCCGCGTCAATATCCATTATCATTTACACATGAACGCGGCATTAGTAGCACCGAAGAAGGTATCCTTGCATTAGAGAATTGGTGTCAATTTCCTCCGCTTCCCTCTTTCATGTATGATTAAAATCCATGTAATGATAGCCTCCGAGAGTCCTGATAAACAAAAAATTGTGCGCTTTAGAGATAAGCTTGTTGAAGAGGACGAAACAGAAACGTTTTTTCAGGTATTTAAATTTTTCCATAAGCGCATGTGTAAGTAATGTAAGTAAATGCATGCTAACTACCAATTATTATCACTACTAGTCAATATCTCCAGAAAGTGCGAGCAGCAGACCTATACGCACACCAAGTGCACTCTTTAATGAATCTATATTAGCACAAACAACGCCTAAAAAGAGAACACCGTCTTCACGAGTCACGCCAAACACCTCTTTCTCCGCCACATCATCCTCTTCCTCTCTCTCAGATAATCCTTCGCCAATCGGCTTGCGTAATCTAACTACTCCATCTTTCCTGAGAACTCCTCCTTCAATGTACCACACTTCTTATTCTCAACAATCATCATCATCATCATCAATGAGAGACAACACATTTGCTAATTTGAAGCGTCCGTCACAACTTTCACTCTCGCGATTTGATGAAAAAATTAAATTGAAGTAAGCGAAAATAAATTATTCTTGAATCTTAGTTCTCATTATTTTGTAATTTATCTTTTCTTTTTTTCTCACTCTCTTTAGGGAAAATCCTTCGATAATGACAAACTTTGACCCGGATAAAGATAAAAAACTTTATGGTCAAGCCGTGGGTATTTACAAGAGTTTCAGTAGAAATATCGATGATGATAGTTATATCATACAATAAGCGATGCGAGCTAATATTATAAGATTGATTGATCGATGGATTGTTTTATATACGCGTCAGCTCATTCTGAAGGATCAGAAAACTTGCACGAAGAATAAAAAATTGTGACGAGATTCAGAGAATACTAAAATAAAATCCGAATCTTTTCGATCGGTTATTTCTTTATTTTAATCTTAAAAAAACACTGGCTAATTATTAATATGTTAATGATGTTCCTAATTTCTTAACATTAACCATTTCGTTTGGTGCTGATATCTCATCCACCACCATCACTACTACCGTCAATTCTATCTGGGTAATTCTTTGCTTTGTCCAACAACTGTTAAAACAATTGTTAAATAAAAATATACCAAAATTTAAGGGAAAATAATAGGTAGTAAGTTGGCATTTTAATGTTCGTTTGCTCTCTAATATATACTATAAAAGATCAAAGTTGTGTGGCGTGTCATTCCAAGTTACGCATCAACAACAAGGTTATGTCATCAAATAATTCAAGAAATTGTCGAAAACTCTTTAGATCTCCTTCATCAATACGCACACTAATCATTCCTACTAATGAAAGCGCCACAATTGACCTGTAAAATAAAGTGATGTTATACTTCGTGAATAAAATACACGATACAATAATAATATAGGTTCTTGAAGGTTCACCAATAAAAAGAGTATCCAGCAAACGGCGGTCCGAATATAGCAGCTATCCCGATTAGGGGATAAGAATTTTGTCCAAATCGCCCATTTTCTATTTTAGCCATGATGGGATGCTTTGAAAGTTCCTCGGCTTGTTTTTGAATATATTGACTATCTTTAATCTAAACTCGAAGAAAATTACCCGTTAATATATATAAATCAGTCGATATATTAACAAAATGGTGCGAAATAAAATAGAGACTTTTTCCATGATAGATTCAAACGCGACTTCCCCGTGTTCCTCTAATAGTTGAGTAAGTTGTTGCAAGTATTCTATTATTTTCAATTGAATTTCTTTTACGCGCATCAATATTACGACATCATCTTCAGCATCCCACGAGCCATATGAACTAAATCATAATAATAGTAGTAATAATAATAGAGAAAAATTAATTTTCAGACTGACGATGTTATTCTCGTATTCCTCAACCCATAAATTCTTACACAGCCATCATTAATGGGGACACGATCTTGGTCACTGCAAGGATAAGTAGGCGATGTGAATGAACGAATTCAAACATTTGGTAGTTTGTGATTAAGGACTCTTTGTCAATTAGAATCCAATGTGGTGTATCCAGAATTTGTATAATATCATCCTCTTTAATATATTTAAGTGTTAAATCATCAAGATCTTGATTATAATCTATACCACCACCCACAAATAAATCTTCCTCAGGCTCTAAAAGAATGCTCAATTCGATTTCAGTTATCTCTTTTTCATATGCATTGATAAAGGGTTTAACCTCATCATCATCATCGTTAAGAATCCATCCATATTGTGTAGCATATTTCGTAAAAGTTGCTCCCAAATCCGACAGACGTTCTTTATTCGCCATTACCTCACGAAACAGTTTATGAATAAGCTGCAATTTACGATATCTTTCATATTCTTGTTGTGTAGAAAACTCATGTCGTTGTCTGCCATAATCGCTGCCACCGCGACGACGTTGAATATCATATCGGTTGCGACTTTCTGGATTACAGAGGGTACTGTAAGCTTCATTGATGAGGACAAAACGGCTGTTTACGCTGTCAGTGTGATGCTTATTTACGAGCTCAGTGCTAGTCTGGCTGTGCTTGTCGGGATGGTGTTTTAGTGCTAGCTTTCTGTATGACTTTTTTATTTCATCGTACGAGGCGGACGGAGAAACCTCCAAGATTTGATAGTAATTAGGAATTTCCATATTCATGAAGAGGAAAGGAACAAAGATCAGGAGACATTGTTTGATAGCTTTATTTAGCTTTATTATATAACCAGAATTTCATCAGTGGTACAGTCATTTGACCCAGTTCACTGCACTTTTAACAATGTCCTGCTTATTTATCACACTTTCACTTGACTCTTTATATACATGTTTAAAATGCTATGATCAACATGGAAATAAATCTACAGTAACACATTACTCCAGACAGTAACGAAACTAGTATCGACTTTGGCTTGTCCCTTATGTCAAGAAATGGATTTCAGATCATAAAGCTGATTCCCAATAAATTTCCATCTAGAACACACAATTCCTTCGTAATAACATTATATTCTAAATAGTTTCATGTTCCTATTATAAAATATGTCAATAGTCCACGCAAAAGTTCAATATGAACAAAGTTGAAATGTCTTACTAAACTAGATTACATAGTAATTGATGATGACATATAAATAATGATGTCGTTATCAAAAATAAAAGAAGTGAGTTAAAAGAGAGAGAAAGCAAGTAATAATAAAGTAGAGATATAAATAATGTTTTAATTTATTAGTATATGGTCCAGTGCAAAAAGACTTGTATCTCAAAATAAAAGTTAATAATTGCTTCTATTATTTTATTGTACTTTTATTCAATAATAAATAAAGCAATACTTTTCTAAAAAAATAAAATAAAAAATTATTTTATTTTAAGCATTATTTTTATCAATTTGCAATATTAGAACTTCAAATTACACAAGTATATTGTTATATATTTAATAAAAATTTATTTCAAATTTTATAACAAATTAAGTTTCAAAATATAACAATTAAGTTATTTATTATATATATTTTATACTAATTTTAATCAAATTTTATATAGTAAAATTTATGAAATAAGAATTCAAAAAAGTTATTTCTAGTAAAAATTTTTTTATAAAATATATCTAATAACTTAATTAAATAAGACAAAATTAAAATTTTATTTTAAAAAAATAATTTTTAATATTTATCGAAGATACAAATCTTTTTGCATTGAATTATAATTATAATTAAATTATTATAAATAATAATTTAGTTTGATAATTCTTTATTTTAATTTAATTAATAATAATCTTTTAACTTTTTATTGCTTTTTTTTTGTTTTTAATTATTATTTTAATTAATTTTATCTTTTTATTTTTTAATTTTTGAATAAATATCTGAAATATTATAATATATATTTAATATATTTGTAAGCAACAAATTATAATTCAATAATTTTGTTTTATTTATAATATTTAATAAATAATTATTTTAAATTAAGATTATAAGATCTTTTTTTAAATATTATTACAAGTAATATTATTATTAATTTGATATAATAAATATATAAATAAAGATAAAATTAATTATAATACCATTTAAATTATATATTAATTTATATTATTAATTAATAATATTTTTTTTATTTTTTTTTTTGATATTTCTTATTTTTCTATTTTTATTTTATTGTTATCTTAAATTGAATATATTAATTATATATTTTTTATATTTATTATTTTTTATATTTGTTTAATCTTTATTATGTATATATTTTTTACTTTTATTATTGATACTTTAGTATAAAACAAGATTATTAATTATGAGATAATTAGTTTTTTATATAATTAAAAAAAATTAATAATTTTATAATAATAGTGTAAATCTATTATATTATATATTATGTTGTAGCTATATTATATTATACTATATTACATATTATTAAAAATGATCTTCTAAATTATTTTTGAAAAAAATAATAATTCACTTTTGTTATGTTATTTATATTAATGAATACTTAAAAATTACCTAAAAATACTTGTTTTAGTTTGTATAATTCAAATAATTTTGGAAAACAATTTCAGTTACTAATAAAATAATTCCAGATTTAATTTCAATAAGTTAATTTTAACAAATTATTTAATTAAATGATGTTATTTTAGCAATCATCCTTACATATTACTATATCATATTATACTGCTAATAGTATTATTAATTAATTCTAAATTAGTTTTAAAAATTATTAATTCTAAATAAATTAAATTATTTAATTATAATAAGTAATTCTTTTTAAATATTATTATAATAAATAAATTTTATTAATAATTTGTAAAATAAATATTATTTTTAAAATTAACAATTATTTTAATTTTTAAAATAGTTTCAAATTTATTTCAAATTCTATATTATTACTATTTTGTATAATTTTGAGTTTTATTATAGAAAAATATAAATAATATATAAGATTAAGTTAAATAAAAAAGAAAATATAAATATTTAAAAATAAATAATATATACAGTGGCAATCAGAAATAATGCAACAACGTTAAAATTTACTAATTAAACATAGTAAAATACGTATTTTTCTCTTTATATAAAAGTTTTCAATTTTACTAATAAATATTTTTTATTTTTACATTAAAATGAAGATAAT